TAAGGAAAACTCTTTGGACTTTACCCAGACGAAATCACCTTCCTTAAATGTAGATGGTCGACGATGTTTATTCGCTTGTTCGATCATCTGGTCCCGAGCTTTCTTTAAATTATCTTTTACCTTCTTTATGTCTTCTTGAAACAAAACTTCATACTCCCGTGTCCCTGTCTCTTATACACATCTAGATGTGTATAAGAGACAGGGGGAGGCGAAAGTGGGGGTGCGGGGCCCAGCAGGGGTGAGGGGGTCGGGGCACCGGCGAGGGTGTTTTGGGGTGGGTGGGGGTGGGGCACCCCCGCGGCGGGGGTCCGGGGGTCAAACTCGTACCCCGGCTTTGCCCCGGGGGCCCCCGCGTGACAACCCTGCCTCTCTCCCCCGATCCCGACTCCCTCCTCCCACCTCCTTCCCCCGACCTCCGTCCAGCGACTTCCCTCCCCATCCCGACTTCCTTTCCCCCACTTCCCCCCATCGATCCCCACCTCTGTCTCCCGATCCCGACTTCCATCTCCGATCCCATTTCTACATCCCGACCTCTACCTCCCCCCTTCCCTGAAAGCTCTTCCTCCTCCTCCTCCCGCTGCTCCTCCTGCTCTTCCCCCCTTCCTCCTCCCGCTACTCCTCCCGCTCGTCCCGCAGACCGTGCCCTCACCCATCGGCAGTCTGCGCGGATGACCTCTCTCTCTCTCTCTCTCTCTCTCTCTCTCTCTCTTCGTTTCACACCACTTAATGACAACAAATGATGTATCGTCCTTCTCCAGCTCCCCCTCCTGCTGCTCCTCCCGCTCTCCCTCCTTCCGCCCCTGGTCCTCCTCCCGGTGCCGCTCCTGCCACACGTACGTGTGTGTGTGTGTGTGTGTGTGTGTGTGAAACAGAGAGAGAGGGTACTTCAATGGACAGGATGAGCAAAATCGAACGAATCTACCGCTAGAACATGGAAATATACACTGCCAGTAGTAGTGTATATTCCGATGTTATAGCGGAAGATTCATTCGATTTTGCTCATCCTATCGATGGAAGTAGCGTGATGCCAGTCACGAGGTTGGAGACTTACCTGTTGGCCAGTGTGTTGCTCATCCTATCGTTGAAAACTCTCTCTCTCTCTCTCTCTCTCTCTCTCGCGCGCGCGCGCGCGCGCGCGCGCGCGCGCGTGCGTCCTCCCTTTCACACCGCTTAACAACAAGTGATGGTGGATCGTCCTTCTCCCGTTCGCCCTCCTACTGCTCCTCCCGCTCTTCCTCCTCCTCCTCCTGTTGCTCCTCCTGCTCTTCCCCCCTTCCTCCTCCCGCTCCTCCGCACGACGACAACCCTTGCTTCCCGTTCGCGCAATGTCCCCCTGAGCCCGTACTACCGCTGCGCTTGCTGCACTTCGCTCTCGCCACCCTTCCGTCCGCCCCCGCCTTCCACTCCAGTGTTCCGTTGACCCCTGCCGTTCCACGCTGCCCTTGGCCCGCTTCAGTTTCCGCTGCGCGCGTCGGCCTGGGCCTCCGCCCCCTGGACCTCGCATCCGCCCTGCACCCACCCGCGTGGCTTTTCGCCCGCCCGCGTGGCTTTTCGCCTGGTTCGCTTTTCCCTGCCCGCCTCGGCCTGCGCCTCGCCCCTGCACCGGTTCCCCTACCCAGTTCCACCCCTCCACGGGTTTCCCTTGGGCCCGCGACCGAGCATGTCAGCGGGACCTTTACAACTTTTAGTAGTATAGAGAAGTGGACGTTTTCCCATTTTCCCCGAAGAGTTCGGAGACCAGAGGCTCGGCATCAGTTGTATTTCCCGTTACCAAAAAAAAAGAAAAAAGAGAAGTAAAGAAAAAAGGAAGGATGTCAGGGAAGCCCGTGAAGGAGATGTGCTCACATCAGTGTACTCAAAGGAACGCATCTACCCGTGCCCTGCCAAGGAGAGGAAAGGCGCATTCCACGGGCAGCTGACACTTTGCAATGGGGGGCACATTCTTACTCGTACTCCAGATTCTGTATCCAGCTGCTTTCACGTCCAAAGTGTTGTTGCTTTTTTGTTTTCTTTTTCTTTGTTTTGTTTTTTTCCTGCTGTCGTGATTACAGCAGGGCTGTAATGCCCGTTCGGAGGGCGTACTGTCACAGGTACTCCAGATTCTGTATCTAGTTGCTTTCACGTCCAAAGAGTTGTTGCTGAGTTTTTGTTTTTTTTCTTTTGTTTGTTCCTGCTGCCGTGATTTCAGCAGGGCTGTAATGCCCGTTGGAGGTGCATACTCTCACATGTACCCCAAAATCTGCATCCGGCCGCTTTCACGTCCCTAGCGTAGTTTGTTATTTTTATTTTTTATTTTTGTTCTTTTTTTTTCCGATTTCCGAAGAGAAGCATAAAAGAAAACACAATGGGACCCAGGCTCGGCAACTTTCGGTGCGCAGTGAAATTCAGGGTTGGCAAAAACAGGCTCGGAGGTACTAGTGGTTTAATAAAAAAAAAAGAAAATCAGTGAAGATAATCCTGTTGGGAATGTTCAAATTGACAAAAAGTAACATTAACATTCACTTAATTGAAATTAGCAATAGGATAAATCTGCGTTGCATCCTGTTTAAACATTAGAATTCGCATTGTATCCAGGTTAGTGCCCATCTTTTCATTGTACCCCCTGGGGCCCAAGCCTGGTCCAACTTTGTGTTTTACCTTCCCTGTTTTTCCAATTTGTTTTGTAGAATATTTTGCAATGAACCCAGATTGTGAAGACAGTCGTCAACAATGCAAACCCAGATGAAGGTCAACCAGCTGATGATTACCAATAGTCAAAATCATGTCCATACAAAATGAGATGAGATAATCATACACAGACGAAGGAGAGAGGAGGGAGATTAGACAAAGGAGAGGAAATAAATACAAGGCCCACTCCTACTTCGGGCTCACTCCTACTTCGGGCTCCCTCCTCGATCAACACCTCAATAATCAATAGTCTGAACGAGTATCTGAAGTAACCTCAATGTGCCACGTGGCACGTCTCATCAGCCCCTCATCAGCGCACTGAAGCAATGTCGACCTCAAGATGACAAGGTACGTATCCACGATTACCCCACAGTCATGATATCCTCCTGAGTGACGATGAATCAGAACAGCAGAACCGGTCACGTAATAGAACACGTGGCAGCAGCTGCCACGTCAGCATGCCTTGAAGACAGTAGCTAGCCAGCTACCATGCCGAGCCAGCAGCGCGTCGCCGTGATCTCCCAAATGCCGGCGCGAAGCCAGCGTCTACCAGTGTCAGCGTTGAGCAAGCATCGCTTCGGCAACGCGTGAAGTCAGCATTTGACGTAAGACTGAATGAATGTCAAAGCCAGGAAGTCAGCGCTTATGTAGCGTTGACGGGGGGTCTGGACCCCGGATGTTGCATCCCTCAGCCGTCCAGAGCTCCATGCAAACGAGGGCCCAGATTGGTCTGAAACCGAATTCTCTCCGGCCTGGATGCTTTCGGGGTACCTGCGCACAGCAAGTGAGTGTATCCAACCAAGGGCCTGGGTGTGGAACCTTTGACTCTACAGTTTACTTTGACCCTTGAATTTCCTGTGAGCAACGTTCGGTCACACAGCCATACGCGACAGACTCAGGCCGGGGCGTGTCGTGGTCACACAGCCCAGCGCAGACCATCTCAGGTGTGTGTTGCCTGGGGCTGAGTTCTGGGTCCCAGGCTACTTCTGAATAGGGTTACTACATTCCTGCCGGCCCATTTTCGAGTTCCACCGCATAAATATTTAGGACTTTAATGCTCGTTCATAAGCAGCGACAATATCAGGAGCAGTTTCAAGTACTCGTTTACTAAACCATCTGTCCTCAGATGGTGCTTCAGACTTAAAACGTACCTTGAACTGCTTCTGAGGTCGTCCGCGTCCTCCCGTAGAGAAGTAACCATGCTCTATGATTTTGTCTACCTCATATCTGCCTTCCATAGATGGCGGAATCATAGAGGGTCTGTTTGGAAATTCATTCCCTTCTACATAGGGCAATAGTTTGGACGCGTGAAAGACAGGATATGTTTTGAGATGAGGGGGAATATCAATGCGATAAGACGGTCCCTCTGCATCTCCTATTACTTTGAGAACTTCCCAGGGTCTAAAATAGACAGGCATAAGTTTCTGAGACACATCTTCTTCTAAGGAAAACTCTTTGGACTTTACCCAGACGAAATCACCTTCCTTAAATGTAGATGGTCGACGATGTTTATTCGCTTGTTCGATCATCTGGTCCCAAGCTTTCTTTAAATTATCTTTTACCTTCTTTATGTCTTCTTGAAACAAAACTGCATATCCTCGTGTCCCTGGAGGTAACCTAAGGAACTGGTCCCGCGTTAACACATCAATGGGACACCTAGGTTTCCACCCCTTGTGCAGTGCATTTGGTGTACGACCCATAGCGGTGTGAACACTGTTGTTATATGCACTTGCTATTTTGGGTATCCCAATCAATCTGATCGGGTCTCACATACATGCGCAAGAGTTGTTGGCACAATCGGTTCATCTGCTCACTTTGTCCATTCGTTTCAGGATGTCGCCCTGACGACATGGTCAAACGTGTACCGTATGCTTCCATCAGCTTTTGCCATGGCATACTTGTGAACTTTGCATCACGATCAGACACAATGGAGAGGGGAAACCCATTTTCAGTCACCCATCACATCTGAAATTTTTGGATCACAAGTTCAGTTCTTACTTAGGTAAGGAAATAAACATGGCATATTCAGAGAAACGATCCACAACAACCATTACTTAACTATTGTCATTACGGCTCTTAGTGAGGCTCATGAAATCAACTGAGATGGACTCACCTGATTCACTCGGAATTAGTAATGGTGTCATGAGACCAAGTGGATTCTCATGTGAAGGTTTGTTTCTCTGACACACCAGACAGGTACGCACGTAAGTTGGTACGTCTTCCTTTAATCCCTTCCATTCAAAACGCTCCCTAACCTCTGCGTAAGTTTTCTTGAATCCAAAATAACCCTCAGAATCGTGACATTCCCCAATTAACAGACTTTTAATCTCTTCCTTGTGAGGAATACACAATCTTTGTTCAATCTGGCCTAACAAGAAAAGCAAACCATCGGTTACACGGTAGTTGGGAAGTAGAGTTGGGTCTTTTGCAAGGACGTTAATGATAGGCTTCCAAATAGGGTCAGTAGCATATCCTTGCCGAATTCTATCTTTCAAATCACTCCCAATATCCAGATAAGAGACAATTGCACCAAAGAAATCACTCCGTCTGGACAATGCATCTGCAACCACAATAAACTTACCTTTGATCGTTTTTAATTCAAAATCAAAGGTATCAATAAACGCAGACCATCGTACCAACTATCAGAGAGCCTAGGCTGTGTCTTTTTATCCACTTCAGAGTAGAGTGGTCTGAGTACACAGTAAAGTGCCTCCCTAATAAGTAGTGCTTCCACGTGTTTAGTGCACAGACTAAGGCATATAACACCCTTTCATAGGTGGAGTTGACAACCTTTTTCGACGACAGTCGTGCAGACATAAACTCTATGGGCCTGTAGCCCTTGTCGTCATCCTGCTGGAAAACAACGCCAATCCCATACCGACCAGTAGTGACAATGAAGGGTAGAGACGGGGCAACAATTTTCAGAACTGGGTTGTGAGTCAAAACATATTTCAACTTTTTGAACAAAGACTCACAGTCTTTGTCCCACGACCAAACATTTTATTTCTTCAATAATCTTCTCATTGGTGCGACGATCAGTGAGAAGTTCCTAACGAACTTCCTATAATAACTTGCCAAACCAAGAAAAAATCCTAGTTCAGTTATCGACTTAGGTCGTGGCCCATCTCTAATTGCTAATATCTTCTTTTCTTCTGGCCTTAGGCCATCTTCGTTTACTATATGTCCTAAGTATAAAACTTCGGACTTAGCAAATTCATACTTTTTTGGATTTAGCTTGAAGTTGCCCTCACGCAACTTTGCTAACACTAGACGTAGGTGTTTCTCGTGATCTTCTAGTATCTTACTATACACTAGAATGTCATCGAGATAGACAATGACGAACTGATCCAACCATTGACGAAAGAGTTCATTCATAGATCTTTGGAAGGTCGCTTAGACATTAGTCAGTCCGAAAGGCATTACCACAAACTCGTAGTGACCATACCTTGTTCGGAATGCAGTCTTGTGTTGATCTGCGGGATCCACCTCGATCTGGTGGTATCCAGACTTCAGATCAATTTTACTGAAGAGCTTGCAGTCCTGCAACTGGTTCAACAAGTCGTCAATTCGTGGAAGAGGTTCGACATTCCTAACAGTGACGACATTCAACCCTCTATAATCAATATAGAGACGCAACTCACCTTTCCTTTCGGGCACGAATAGGACAGGGGCACAATAAGGAAAAGAGCTATAGGGCGAATCCATCGTTTCTCTGTTAAGTTCTACAGTTGTTTTCTGACTTCCTCAAGTTCCCTAGGAGACATTCTGTAGATAGGGCCCTTGAGAATCTTACTGCCAGGAATAATTTCAATGGTGTGCTTTATAGCACGCACAGTTATTCCCGTTGGTTCGATTTGTAGATCTTTATACTCATCCAAGAGTTTCGCAATCGAAGGAGGGAAGGAAGTAGAGCATTCTCCTACTTTCTTTACTAAGACCATCGTTACTTATTGTTCCAATTTCTTCTTTGAAACCATAGAACGAAATGTTGGATAACTCATACAACAGAAAGAGAGACTAGAGTCAGAGCCAGACTTATGATACAATCTGATTGATTTCAATACTGTTTGTGCGTCACGCAATTGCACAATCTTCTCTTTGAAATTGATATCTGGGTTGGCTTCCTCGCGCCTGTTTATTCCCAGAATCAAATCAAAAGGTCTGAGAATCAAATCAAAAGGTCCGAGAATCAAATCAAAAGGTAACTTCTTCTTCACAAGAAAGGAACCCTCGTGAACATCTTCTTTCCTTCCTTAGTACAGAATCGACACTTCACACGATCAACATATTGTGAGACAGTGATCGTGCTTTTGTCAGCTAGGATAGACGTGATTGGTCGAGACAGATTCTTTACCTTCATTTTGAGATGCAACTTGCGGATTGCTTTCTCGGATATGTAGGATCACGTGGATCCTGAGTCCAAAAGTGCACCTACGAGTGTACGTGCAATCTCTACGTCCACGAGTAGTAGGTTACCCTTAGACTTAGATTTCTTAGCCCACGAGCTTTGTAATGCTAGCAACTTGTTACCAAGCTCGTCAAGAGAGTCGTCCAGAGAGACAGTACATAAGACAGGTTCAGGGTGTTCTGGACGATGGGCCGAAGAGAAACCATCCTCTGCCATATGAGTCGAAGGGTTGGAAGGGGTCGTAGGCGCCTTACCTTTATCTTGGTCCAAACCCTTAGACTCAGTAGGAGCAGATGCTACTCCTACTGGCGGCTCACTTTTGGGTTACAGATTAATGGGCACCATGCTATTACATGCCCTGCAAGGCCACATTTCAGGCATTGCGCGTTGTTCATCCGTTCTTGCCACGTTTCCTCTGACATTCCCATCTTTTCCCATGGCTTCCCGACCGCAATTCCGGAATGATCAGGAAACGAGCATGGTTTCTTCTTCTTCATCGGTGGTCGTGGTCCTCCCTTGTTGACCACGGCAACAGTGACTTCCCCCTTCCCGGCATCACTGCTGCTTGCCACACCCTCAACCTCCAATGGCCACTTCTCCATAGTATCGTCGTCAAAGACGACGAGGGTGTGGTCCTGGCGCCAAAAGTATCCGCTTACCTGTATCTGCACCACCACCATACTTCACAACAGACGCATACGAATTCTTTACTTGAGAAGTTATTTGCTCTCGTTGGAGAGCAAGGTCTCGAAACTGCTTATAATTGTACTTACCAGATTTCGATTCTGCCATGAGTTGTCCACGAATGGGCTCGGGTAGAGCGCGGGAATAGATATACAAGACTTGGTTTTCTTGCAGGTTTAGTCCAGGAACCCGCAGCAACCGATCAACTTCCCTTGACAATGATTCCACAAAGGTCCAATGTTTTTGACCAATTGTGGTGGGCTGGTCAAAGGCCTTGTCGACTGTCGTTTTATCCAAGAAGTGTTCCTTGATCTTGCCAAGGAACTGCTTAAGGTTCAATGTTCCAGCCCACTCCCCAATGTCATCGAACCCCGCTGCGTTGGCTTCAGCCAGAACCCATTCCTTCGCTTTCCCCCCGAGACAAGAGGCAGAGAAAGCAACCTGGGATTCGGGTTCAACAGGGGCCGTACTACAGTACATCTGTATCTCAGCAATCCACAACAATAATTTTCATCTTTCTTGTTGCAGAATGTGAAAGGCAATTTCATTTTTACCTTCTCCTTCTTCTTTGGTTGCTCAGGCTGTGTGGTGGTGACTTTGCTTCCTCCGGGAGACTTCGGTAGTTTCTTTGGTTTTTCTTTCTTCTCTACTTTGACTTCTTCTATCACCTGATTCTTTCCCTTGAACAGATTGGAAATTGTCTGCAGACCCGCGGTCACCTCATCAATCCGAACCCCATACTGATCAATCTTCAGCTCGAGGTGAGCAAGGTAAGTCACAAGTTGGGCCAAAGAAACAACCTGTCCTTCCCCTTCAGTTAATAACAGTTTGTCTGATTTCTTTTATTTTTTGTTCTTGTTGTACATTCTGCTCTTTTTGTCTTCTCAATTCCTCTTTCCTCTTCTTCTCTCTCTCTAGTGCTTCTTCAAGTTGTCTGATATTTTCGTCCACGGTTTCTTCAGACACAACCCCTTCTCCTTCTTTTTTCCGATCAACAATCTTGGAGAACTGATCCATGATATACTTATTAAGTGTCCGACGACACATGATTAGTATATCCTGAACCTGAATGACGTCGGTGCCTGTCTCAACCAATTCAATAGCATTATGTAATGCTTTTAAATCAAACAGGCTCTGGATGTGAGCCTCAGCCTCTTCACCGGCATCATGAAGTTCAGAAATCAGTTTGTCCAAACGGGCAATCAAGACTTGTTTCCGCTCTTTCACTTGCTGCTTAGTTCGGGGGTCAGGAGTCTCCTCATCAATACCGAAGATGAGAGAGATTGGATAGAAGAGAAAAGGAATAAAACGAGTAAGCACTGACAAAATTTCAGAGAAATTCAGAGAAAAAACATCGTGACGTGCGTCTGCCGCACAATAAATAATTAATAAACAATAATAAATTCCACGGCCGCACTGATCTACAGCAGCAAGATTTCTAACAACCGAAGAGAAAAATAAATACAATTATTTCTATTCCTAACTATTGATGTTCTTTGTCTGTGTGATGACGTCCTACTCGAGAGTGTACAGGTACCACTTCAGGCCCGTGTGATCAGATACAACACACAAGTACCACAACACAGCAAACGACAAGGTAAGTATGCCAACATCAACAACAAACAGTTTGTCAGCAATCCTTCTTCTTCTTTCCCTCTGTGTCGTCCTAGTGTCAATGCGATGTTGCACCCCTCGTGACAGCTGGCACTACAGCTGTCTCATTCTTTCAATCAGCCGTACCACCGTCGTCTTCGGAGTGCTGCTCTTACTTGGCAGACACCTGCCTGCCACGTGTCATCCCTGCAGTGCCAACATAGCAGATCCTGCCATGTCAGCACATCAATATCCAATCAACCAGCCGTGGGGATGCCACATCAGCAAATGTGTCCTCTGTCCTTCACACGTGCCACTTCCACGTGTCTTGTTGTGATACCGTTGCCGTACCAGCCAATCGAGATAATGCCGCATCAGCCAATGGAGCAAATGCCACGTCAGCAGGCGATCACCACGTCAAGGAGACTCATGTGATAAACCTTCCCTGCCACGTCAGCAGTCAGCCTCGTCGTCCAAGGCCACGTCAGCACCTCATCGGGACCAAGTCGCGCGTGAGATTGCCACGTCAGCAATCTGCAGCGACAAAGTCCCTGGACGTGGCACAAAGTATGCCACGTGAGCAGGGGATCGCGACCTCAATATCGCGATCCTGGCTGGTCCACGGTCACTCTAGGTCGGGATCCCGACTGCCACGTCAGCACGCTCGTCAGAATCGGATCTTCTCGCCAGCAGTATTCCACGTCAGCCTCACCAGCGATCGTCGTTGTTGTCCACGTCAGATCTCGTAGCCATCACATCATACATGCGCGTGTCACTTACCTGGTGCGCATCATCATCAGGAGTATGCTCTGATACCAAATTGCGATGAACCCAGATCGTTAAGACAGTCGTCAACAATGCAAGCCCAGATGAATGTCAACCAGCTGATGATTACCAATAGTCAAAATCGTGTCCAGACAGAATGAGATGAGATAATCATACACAGACGAAGGAGAGAGGAGGAAAATAGACAAAGGAGAGGAAATAAATACAAGGCCCACTCCTACTTCGGGCTCCCTCCTCGATCAACACCTCAATAATCAATAGTCTGAGTGAGTATCTGAAGTAACCTCAATGTGCCACGTGGCACGTCTAATCAGTCCCTCATCAGCACACTGAAGCAATGTCGACCTCAAGATGACAAGGTACGTATCCACGATTACCCCACAGTCATGATCTCCTCCTGAGTGACGATGAATCAGGACAGCAGAACCGGTCACGTAATAGAACACGTGGCAGCAGCCACGTCAGCAGCAACGTGTGGCAGCTGCCACGTCAGCATGCCTTGAAGACAGTAGCTAGCCAGCTACCATGCCGAGCCAGCAGCGCGTCGCCGTGATCTCCCAAATGCGGGCACAAAGCCAGCGTCCACCAGTGTCAGCGTCGAGCAAGCATCGCGTCGGCAACGCGTGAAGTCAGCATTGACGCAAAACTGAATGAATGTCAAAGCCAGGAAGTCAGCGCTTATGTAGCGTTGACGCGGGGTCTGGACCCCGGATGCTGCATCCCTCAGCCGTCCAGATCTCCATGCAAACGAGGGCCCAGATTGGTCTGAAACCGAATTCTCTCCGGCCTGGATGCTGTCCGGGTACCTGCGCACAACAAGTGAGTGTATCCAACCAAGGGCCTGGGTGCGGTACCTTTGACTCTACAGTTGACTTTGACTCTTGAATTTCCTGTGTGCAACGTTCGGTCACACAGCCATACGCGACAGACTCAGGCCTGGGCGTGTCTTGGTCACATAGCCCAGCGCAGACCATCTCAGGTCTGCGTTGCCTGGGGCTGAGTTCTGGGCCCCAGGCTACTTCTGAATAGGGTTACTACAATTTGTACCCTGGTCTCCTCCGTTGCCACCTTAAAGTTTTTGGTGTGGTCGATCCGATGGGTCTGTAATTCGTGCAAGGAAAATGAGCGATAGCGAACTTCAGAAATCAAACAGCATCATACACATGAGACCAGATAGTCGTGACCTCGAACCAATAGCAGAATTGCATCATGAGTTCCACCAAATAAGAGCACAGCAAAAGCTCAAAATTGACAATGCTGGAATAGTCTCATCATCATCGACGAAGAACCAATGTTGATATCCTATCTGGCGCTCGGCGCCCAGACTACAAATGGCAGATCCTATCTAGCCTATCTACAATGCGGCTGATGACGTCAACAGCTGCCCGAAGTACGAGCAGATCTCGGCCAATGCCGTTCGCCTCAAGCACCAGGTATGTCTCTCGTATCACTCACAACCTCGATCCCCAACTCACAGATGCCACATGCACCCAAAGACCACCATGCAACCCATCCAGCATACAGCAGCGCAGCTCGGCTATGGCTGCCTGCTCCTTCCAGCTCGCCGGGAGCGCGTGAGCGCTGGCCAGCGTTAGCGCAGCAGCGCTTGCGCAGCATGCAGCCAGTGCCCGAATGTCCAATGCGTGAGCAGGCCCTTCCCTATATCGAAGTGGACTGCTGCTGCGTGCGGTAATGCGGTACTGGGCCCCGGCCCAGAAGCTTCCGGTAGGCCCCACAAGGCTGAGCCTCAGTCCAAAGGAAACAGGCCCAGGGCCTGTGGTGGTTACTAACGCCCAACTGCCCTCAGCCTTTGTCCGGTCCATGTTGTGTATCCGGCCCAGGGCCTGCCTCAGTTACATACGATGAAAGGCAGCCTGGGCCTGGGCGCTTCCAACCAACTGGTGCTGCGCAACTGCCTGAATTTTCCCCAGTTGCGTAGTAGTCCAAAATAGGCCTCGGTCTGGCCTGCCTTCACTTAGTGCAGCCGACCTCGCCGATAACAGGGCCCAGTGGGGCCTATTGAGGCCTTGTGCCTCGCATTTGGTTTGGAGCCCGCCAGATTGTGGTTATACCTGCAAAGAGGGTATATGTAATTGCGGGTATGCCCACGCATCTCATGCATCCGTTTTCGTACCTCTCTCTCTCTCTCTCTCTCTCTCTCTCTCTCACACACACACACACACACACACACACACACACACACACACACACACA